GAACTCAGAATTAGCAGTCATCTCAGGGGTTACATGTCAAGCTCAGTTTATCCACATCTACATTAGTAATCATTCAGAGGACAGCTCTGGGGATAATGAGACAGTGTAAGTCTCTACATATCATCTCTATTGTTCAGTCAGTGACAGTGACAGGAGATGAGTGCCAGAGTGGAGACAGATAGACTATAAAACAGAGAACATCAACTCTTCTCGCCCATCTGCACTTGTAGACACACATCCCATATCTTTCTCATATATATATATTTTATACCCTCCCCCGTCTGTTCACCGTACACACTTTGACTCAGAGCGCCGAACTTGCGTTTGTCACAGCATCAAGCCGGCTAAATAAGACCCAGTTTACATGTGTTTATTAGTCGATACAAATCCTACGTTTGGTTATAGAATAATTACTTGTAGGGTTTAATATCTTTACAAATGGTGTGGGTTATGTAGAGCACAAACCATTTAGTCTGCACAGGGAAAGGTTTAATGTTCGGAGCCTGATCTATGGACATCAAGAACGGCCCAACTCTGTGCGATCACACAGCTGAAACTTCCCTCTATGCAGCAGTGGCCAACTTTAAAAAGACATATTTTATGGTACTCGTAAACTATAATCAACTTAATCAAAGCTTAGGAAATGTCCTAGACACCAAAGGCGGCCTCCTCAAAGCATAGATGTACGAGGCACATTTGAGAACATCTGTTCTTCTAGGCAGTCAGACAGAAAAATGCCCGCTTCAAACTACGTTTAGCGTCACTAGGAAAGTAGTCCTTTGTATTCCTGCCTAAGGAGTAAACCGTTTTACAGGCATTTCTAAATAAAATACCAGAATTCGCCAACCTATAGTTGCAAGTTTGAAAATGAAGATTTATCAAAGCAACTAGAAGGTCTAGAAATGAATATTCTACCAGATAAAGGTATGGATCAATATAAGGGACTATATACCCTTCTGGACGGGTTCAAATTTGAAATTTGACTGTCCGCGGAGGGGTCTTCAGAATCCCGACGTCCATAGTGTAGGGTGGCTGCTCATCTCACGACAGAATCCAGGATTCGCTACCGTACAGTAGCGTGCTCAAGATACAAGTCTCATAAACTTGTATTTTGGTATTATCAGTCAGCTTTTCGTTTGACTAGTGAGATTTTAAAACATTGCAGATGCCTTTCCTATACGACTTTTATCTCTGCATCTATCTTTCTTCTTTCTTGTTGTACCCCACCAGGACATCATACAAGCGATAAACACCCGGTGAAACAAAGTGCCACCACGTGAATAAGGATCACCCGTGGAGAGGTCCCAGAAACCCATTTCAGCCGTTAGGCCTTATCTATGCCCCGGCTATATTCAGGGCCACCGGCAGAAGCCAGGGTGGGGCTTCAATAAAAAAAATTGCATCCCACGAGGGGTCGACAGACTATATAACATGCATTTAGTAGTAGTACATTTTATCCCACCTTGATATCACACAAGCGATAAACACCCGATGACACAAAGTGCCACCATGTTGATGAGGATCACCCGTTGAGAGGTCCAGGAAACCGCGATCAGCCATTAGGCCATATTTATGGCCCGGCTATATTAGGCCCCTGGCAAGAGCCAGGGTGAGGCTTTAAAATAACGAAAATTGCCACCCGCATGGGGATGAATAGTTACTTGCATCTATTTGCTATATTGATTGTGGGCCAGCTATATTCGAGGCCCCCTGCTAATGCCAGGGTGGGGCTTCAAATAACGAAAAATTACACCCCACAAGGGGACGCGATGTATAAGGCTGTGTTTAAAACTTGCATCGATGTAGGTAGGTAGTTGTACCCCACCAGGACATCACACAAGGGATAAACACCCGGTGACACAAAGTGTGACCATGCGGATGAGGATCACCCGTGGAGAGGTGTCCAGAAACCCTTTTCGGCCTTGTGGCCATATCTATGGCTAGGCCATATTTATGGCCCGGCTATATTCAGGGCCCCAGCAAAAGCCATGATGGGGCTTCAAAATAACAAAAAATTGCATCCCACAAGTTGACGTCGAGAGTAAAAATAACTTGCATCAAGTAGTAGTACATTTTACCCTACCAGGGGTAAGACTGTCATGATTTTAAGAGCATTATAAGGAGGTATATTTTCAATTCGAATTTTCTCGACCTTGTCCGTACATTCACAGACACCTTCAAAAGTGAATATCTATAATCAACAGGGGCATTAAAAACAGAATCCATAAATAAAGGGACGCAATCACGCCTTGTGATAACAGTTAATAAAAGGGAAACAATTTGACATAGAACTGATTGGCTATCTTCTTTTCTTCTTCTTTGACCACCGTCTATAAGCTCCGGCAGAAAGTCTTGATTCGTCCATTTGGACTTTGGCTTCGTGAAGGGCCTGAGTTTTGCGTGCACATTCATTTTACTGGTATATTTGTGTGATGTTAGTTGTTCTTTGCCGCTTGGGCACCTGCACTCCGACTTAGAAAGAAATCCCCAGTTGGTCGACTCCTTCGACACGCTTGTTGGGGAGGCAGTGGGTCTATGCAGGTAAGTAAATTTTACCCCACCTTGACATCACACAGAGCGATAAACACCCGGTAACACAAAGTGCCACTATGCGGATGAGGATCACCCGTGGAGAGATCCCAGAAACCGCGTTTAACTGTCAGGCTTATTGCGGCCCCCTGGCAAGAGCCAGGGTGGGGCTTTAAAATAACGAAAAACTGCACCCAATATGGGGACGACGTAGTTTCTTAACAACAGAAGACACAAATGCATTATAATGAGAAAGGCAATTTGAAAAATAATTATTATACAAATTAGCTTTTACTATTATTATAGTAAATATAAAGTTTTTAAAAAAACTGGGGGGGGGGGGGGGGGTGTTGTTGTTACACCGCAAAGAAAAACTGAAGACTGCTTAGTATCTGTCCTCTTCATGTCACTGTTGACACGTAAGGCATTCACAAGTGATCTTTACAGCTGCCGGTCTACTGTTTTTCTGCCTATGGTATCTCATGCCAATTTTGCATTTCTTCATTTTTATAGTCCTTTCCCAACTTTCCTTAGGTCGTTCAAGTTTTTTTTTTTTAAATCTGGCGTCCGAGAGTTGACCTTGCCAAAGTGTCACGAGGCATTTTGCAAACATGACCGAGCCATAATCTCAATAGTATCAAAGGGATGTGAAGTCTGTACTGAAATGGTATCCAGAATTGAACATTGCATTACTGGTTCAAATAAAATACAAAATGTTGTAACGGAGAACATTAGTAATACCTGGAAATGATGCATAATAAAACCATTGTGTGATTTAACGGTGTTAATATTCTGCAGCTGAGTCCCGTCTAACTGAGCCGAGACAAGGAAATATTTTTGGAAACATTTCCTTATAGAAGGCTTTAAATAAGATCCCCGTCACTTTAAAAGTGGGCGTGGTTATTTAAATGAACAGCTGATCCGATCATCTGTGATGTGCATTGGGGGTGAACTTAATCTGGCTTGAATATGGAACAAACATAGCCGCACAGGTCACGTAACATGTTCAGAAATAGTAAACTAACTTAATGATGTTAAGAATCCAGTATTTACTGGGATTATTAAGAAAATAGAAGAGATACAGGTTAATGGAATCAAGATATACAATATACAGAGGTCTGGTAGTTAGACTTGTGCAGCTGATCTGGCCATAGCTTTAATATATAAAAACATAGCTGCACGAGATACGTAGTGTATTCAGAAGCAGTAAGATAATTGAATCATTTATTTTTATATAGTATTAACAATAATTATAAAGAAAGTAGATGCGAGAAACGAGGAATCCGGGAATAGAGAGAAAGAGAGAGAGGCCTGGTAGTATAAGTCTCGTGTAGAGAGACCGGCATTTCGACAGGCCGCGAGAACTGAGCCCCGACAAACGGACACGGCTATGAGCTACAACAACACTGATGCTTCTGACATGGACACTTCTGATTCCAAGAAAAGGCCGTTAGATGGAGAAGCAGATAATGGGGTCATCACTCATCAAGGTGGAGGTTTGGATGCTTTTTCGGTTGTCTGTGTGCGAAGAATTTGCACCGTGTCCTATCGGTGAACGGTGAAAAATGGCGGCTTCGAAAGTGATGCCGGGTCGCAGGGAAAATATCTTAATTTCATAAGTTTTACAGGCGCTAAAAGCATACAATAGCCTCGAAGTTGTACATGTGATCTTAATAAGTGAATGTAGCACCAATATTATTATGTTAGATATCTTTTTCACAACGCTTTATCCTAAAATTCACCGCGTCCGGGTTGACTACTTCTGTCCGATTTTTTCATGTAAGGGCATGCCTGCGCAGTTGCGTAAAATTACACGTAGCATTGCTTTTAAGCTATTTTTTTAACAACTGTAAATGAAGATGCAGTTTATGAAGAATACATGTATTTAGATGTAAGCATTTAGTGTAAGCGGATTAATGTGCACTTGTAGAAAGCCGATGTTGAGCGCGATGATAGTTGAGACGGAAGTTACTGCTGCGGTCACCTCAGCTGAGCCGCAAGGGCACGCATACTAAGCGAAAAAATTATGACGTTGGCCGACCTAAATTCTTGCCACTATAGTTTTCAGATTAAGCCTGAATTAGTTTTAAAATACAGCTTGTGTTCTTGAAGTTGATATATGTCAATATTGATAAAGGATACACGTATTTTTTAGGTCAGTGAAGGATAGAAGTGACTGACACCCGCTTGTATTGAGTTAGACTTGTGTACAACACACACCCACATCTAGCAAGGCTCAGTAACTGATCAACGATCGCCTGTCTGCCTGCCTGCACACGTGTCAAAAAAGCAACTCTTGATCTCAGATGTTTTAGTTTCTGCTCTTAGTTGCTAAGGCCACAGATTTTCAGAGTTTCTTGCAACTTTTGCAGTGGGGTGACAAGGCAGATTTTGCTTCTGACTAACTCTCTACCAACCAAGAGATATACAGTCTGGGAGTATACAACTTGAGACATCTTTCTGCAGACAGAATGAGTGAGCTTGAGGCCAGGGTATTTCAAGGTGATGATGCAATTTTATCATTTTCTCAGTTATTATCATTAATTGCATAAACATCATCATAGTCAGATCTGTAATTTCTGCATAATCACAATCACTGGTTGAGGGCTCACTCCTTCCCTTTTTCCATTTTACACAGTCACCCAAATCTTTCATGAGCATGTGTTCCTCGCGTGCTCACAGAGAGGCATGTCATACAGGGCAAATGCAGTTACTAGATTTAATTTGTCATGTTCATCAATTATTCCTTTTTGTGCATTGTATCTTCGGTGGACGATACCATTCATCAGGATACAATCTTCATGCATCCTAGAATATCTGTTATGTGATGTAGAGCTTAGCTTAACCTGATATATTTGTTAACTCATTGCGGCACTGGTAACAGGAAATTATGTTCTTGAGCATTCAGCAGTTTTAGCCAGTAAGTAGACAAAGCAAATCAATACTAAGTGTGAGAAATATGAGTATATGCATTGTTAAGACAGAGGTAATGGTAATAGGTAGACAAGAAGAAACTATATCAATTAAAGTAAATAGCACAGAAATAAAACAAACTAGCAAATTCAAATATCTGGGGTAATTTTTCACCTCAGATGAAAGAATGAAGAAAGAAATCCACATACGATGTGCGAAAGCAAATCAGGTTATGGGACAATCAATACCACTCCTGACGCATAGAAAGATGCCTCTATCAACCAAATCAAATCTCGTTAGGAGCGACTTTTTGGCCACCATTGTGCTGCCAGTGCCAAACATGGATCCCTACTACAACCAATGAGCGGAAGATCGTAACAACAGAGATGTGATGTCTTAGGAGAGCTGCTGATCTGACAAGAAGAGATACAATTAGGAATAAAGAAATTAGAAGAAGAATAGGATTGAAACCAGTCATACAATTCATAAAAGAACAACAATTAAGATGGTTTGGCAACCTGACGAGAATGCCCTGATACTAATTGCCACAGAAAGCCACACTTAAGAAATATAATGAACACAGAGCAAGGGGAAGACCATGCAAGAGATGGAGTGACATCCTCAGGAGCAACCTAACAGAAATGAATACTAACTTGTTCAAAGCATTGGAAAAAGCGCACAAATTATCCTTACATCTCCCTCCTAACAGGTAGCTGAGGTAAATGGTGGAAGAGAAGAAGCCAGTAAGTTCTAGATATGTAGCATTGTTCATATCCGTAAGTAATTTGCTGACAGTACTGTCGACAGAGTGCATAAGTATTGTTTATAAAGCCGATTTGAACATAGGACCTAGTAGATGAGGAAGGGTTAAATTCAGTTATTTTACTCTTAGTTGGAACCCTAAAAATATTGATTTCCTAACATGACCATGAGATAGATTGTCAGTAAATGTTTTAGACAAAGTAGAGGACATACCGTAAAGGAATCTTTTAATATGCACATTCAGAAAAATGTTTAAATAAAATATATTTGTCTTCATGCGCCTCCATAAGACTCTCAACAAACCTCAGAGCAGCAAGCAATTATTGACTCAGCCAAAGTGCTTGAGGAAAGAAAAATTAAAAAACAGCGAAATTGTTTTCCTGTGTTATAGCATGTCAGTCCTCCAGGCGTCTCAGAGGGGTCCACGAGAAAACAGGGAGAGATAACTGACCCACCTGCTAAACACTCACAGAAAACAATCAAATCGTTCTCCAGTGGATCCCAGCTCACTGCGGCATACCAGGAAATGAGTTAGCAGACTTACAAAAATGGAACAAAGGAGAAATAACACGCCCATTCATTATCATTACCAGAAATCAGAACACTTATAGAAGGAAAATACAGGAAATTGTGGAGAGAACAAATTGTCACTAAATATCCACAAGACCCACTCTGAAAGCAACATACAACAATTTTCCGTCTACGAACAGGACACTGCAGGCTGAACTACTACATGCATAAAATAAAGATTGTACAGTCCCCACAGTGTGCCTGTCAAACAGGATGACAAACACCGCAGCAAATTTTGCAGACCTGCTCACTCTACCTACAACTTTGAAAAAAGACACCTGGCCTCAAGAGCAAAGTGTGCAGAGCAAACTATGGAGAACTGTGAAGAACCTGCTTCTGACATGCGAGTTCATATAGGCAACCCACCTGATTGTCTAATCTGAGCATAGAAAACTGAACACAAAGAAGAAATAAAATATAAACATTGATAAGCAAAGCAAATTGTGATAAGAATGTATTGATAAATAAATATGCTAGTTAGAGAACCTAGCATGAAGTAGCATAATAAATGCACAGCTAGGAAAAAACATAAACGAGAGTTAGAGAACCTAGCATGAAGTAGCATAATAAATGCACAGCTAGGAAAAAACATAAACGTGGTAAAGAAAAATATGATACAAAATTGAAAATACTGATGGAATTTTTCACTTTTGAACTGCTGTTTTTTTTTTTTTTGCATTGGCACTTAAAAAGGCAGTTGGCAGTTGTAGTTGACAAGTAAGCTGTTATCTGCATCTTTCAGCCCAACACATCTGATTTTAGAAAATCCCTAATTAGTTGCTGTTTATAATGTGCTTGTTAAGAAGCATAAAGTGTCTCTCCACCCCCCTTTCCTCCAATATCAGGCCCAAGAAGAACTCACATGGAGAACACAGTGGAAAACATAATATGTACCAGTTAATCTACCAGCTAGAGAACTTAGCATAAAATAGTGTTTATAGTATAATTATCAATGGATAAAGTCAGGAATAAAAAGATAAATTTCATAATCTCCATCACTGTAAGGCTTGGAGAAATATGGCCACAAGTCTTAAGCCAGATCACCACATACTTTAACAATTTTTAACATTAATGTCGTTATGTTTGATCATATTTGTCAGAGGCAATTGTTCACACACATCGAGGCAATCATTCACGCACATCGAGGCAATCATTCACGCACATCGAGGCAATCATTCACGCACATCGAGGCAGTCATTCACACACATCGAGGCAGTCATTCACACACATTGAGGCAATCATTCATGCACATCGAGGCAGTCATTCACGCACATCGAGGCAATCATTCACCCACATCGAGGCAATCATTCACCCACATCGAGGCAATCATTCACCCACATCGAGGCAATCATTCACGCACATCGAGGCAGTCATTCACGCACATCGAGGCAGTCATTCACGCACATCGAGGCAGTCATTCACGCACATCGAGGCAATCATTCACGCACATCGAGGCAATCATTCACGCACATCGAGGCAGTCATTCATGCACATCGAGGCAGTCATTCACGCACATCGAGGCAATCATTCACCCACATCGAGGCAATCATTCACGCACATTGAGGCAGTCATTCACGCACATTGAGGCAGTCATTCACGCACATCGAGGCAATCATTCACGCACAGCGTCACCTCTGCCATTACTACCAGCCCCTTTATTGATATCCAAACCGTGCAACTCTTTTGTCACTATTACCAGTTACAGATGTTTTCATGTTAACAGTGTTAGCTTTGGTATGGTGAGATGCTTCATGTTGCGATTTATCTGTTTAGTCAGTGTCTTATGTTTTTGTTTGTCTGTCAGGTTTTTTATACTTATACATAAACAACAATTTTATTACAGTAAAATTTAAAATCATACCAGGGTATTCTTCTTCTTTCTCCTCATATGCCTTTTTTCCATATAGAGCACAAGCCCTCAACCAACTCCAGCCAAGTTATCCTGTCCTTTGCTGTAGCATGCAGCTCCCTCTATGTCTTCTCTATCTTTTTAACTGTACTCTCTAGCTTCCTTCTCCATGTGCTTTTGTTTTACTTTTATTTCTATGCCCTTGTGGGTTCTGGTTCTAAGCCATTCTAGTATACTGTTGTCAGGTTTTCTCTGTGTGTCATATCCAACACCAGCATCTTTCAGTCACCTCCTGATCCAGCCAGCGTGTTACTAATATGTTTTAACTATTTGAGTACCAAGCAGTGCATCATTTACTGATGTATAACGATTTTATCTTAGATTTTGGTATAGTAATATTTAAGGGAAGCAGATTAACACCAATCTGCTAAGAGATGACCTAGGAGGGTTGGCATAGGACTGGCTACCACCCAATGCTGTAGACAATATTAGCTGCTAATCCAAGCAACTGTGCATACATTTAAAGAAAGGGATGAATAACGTTCCCACCCAAGGTGAAACGAGCACTTATCCTCAAAGGAAGTCTCAATAAATAAGACCACAGCCAAAGGTATTCTGGATAGTTGAGTTACCTGCTTTCACAAAAGAAATCCCCAGAGTCAGCACCTGTGATGTTAGATAAACTATGTCACCTTTATGCTGTAGGGAGGCACATGGCGAAGATGAGTGTGACAAGCCAGACTCGCCTGCATTAAAGTCTTCCACAATTAAAGCATGGGGTTGCAGGAGCATTGCTGCCATTGCATGTATTTAATGTACATCTTCTCAAACACCCAGCACTTAACCTATTTACAGCCGTTTTCTCCTTTATCCCTGTTCTCTCCAGACAACACAGTTCATGGCATCCTGCTCCCACAAATCCACCTCAGTACCTGTATCATTCGTGTCTCAATTGCAATGTATCTAAATTAGGAAAGATAGTCCAGGGAGAAATGAAATATTACTGTGTGAGGCTGTATGTAATTGAGCAGGCAACATACATTTTAAAAAAGACAGTTGCATGTCCTTTCAGGACATTGCAGAACCAACCCCAGCGTTTTTATTTTTTTATTTTTGGCTGTTGTGACTTTTCTGGGCAAATTTACATTTACTAGTTTACCGTTGCTTTCTAAACCATTGGCTCTCTGTACCATTGTCAAAACCAACGCAGAGTGGTGCCAAATCACCTGCAGGTCAGATCAGGACCGACACCCCAGCATTATGAAGTTCCTTTGCAACGCCTAAGCCAGACTTACATCATTGTTTTACTGCCTTTCTCAGCTAATAGTCCAAGAGTGGGGTAATTTCTGTGTACTGCACGCCTACAGTTTCTTCTTTCAGGGTGGGGGGGGGGGGGCCACTACAAGCACACATCAGTGACAAAACTAGCTTTCTTGGTCATCTTAAATGTGCCCCCCCCCCACCCCTTTCCTAATTTTTTTTTAAATATGAAGGCCTATGGACCCCCCCCCCCCCCCCCCCCTTTTCCATTTGCCTACCCCCTCCCCTCCAACTAGGGATAGTTCTCTTCATATATATATATATATATATATTTTTTTTTTTTAAAATATATGCCAACCAGCAAACTATTAGTATTATTAAGCACCTAAACAAGATTTAGTGTTCCCCACCCCAGAGCACAGAGGGAGGTTCTGTTTTCTTTGTGTCGGCGCTCATGCAAGCATACCAATGTTGTGACGAGGGCACCATCTGTTATTGAAGGCTGTAGAATAGTGGATGGAGGGTAGTCTTTACCTCGCTGGCAGAAACAGTTTGCTTGTAGAAAACAAACAAATTGGCTATAGGTCAGGGTCATACGCTTGCTGCATTCAGAATATATGGTCATGGTCTAGGTGGGCTGCCTGGAATATCAAGAAAATAAAGATACGGAGAAATCACGCACTATGGAGAACCTCTTGAATAATCGGAAGTCTCCTGTTATTCATTATCTTTTAGATCCCCCCTTCTTTGTTTTTTTCAGCCTCCACACTCACTCACAGATAAACAGACACCACACAGTTATGTCGCTGTTATCATTTATGTCCTTTTACCGATTTACATCCATGCTGTTCTTGATCAGTTATGTTGATGATATTCTTTCATGCTCATGTCTTAGACTTTCTAGCATCATTTCTCTTGGCCTGCCAGTTTTCCTTCAACAGCTAATATTTCCAGTTGTCGCAGTATTATACAGTGTCCATCATCTCATCACATGACCAAAAGAACACTACTTTGTCTCTTTCTGATTGAAGCATTTAATGCTCTGCTTTCATTAGTTACTTGGGGTGTCCACTGTATTATTCTTTTGTGTCCACCCTTACAAGGGCAGTTGGCTCACCGTGTTGTGGTTTACAGCTAGACTGCGGTATCTGAAACTTTTGGCCAGATGCATCCAATTAAAGAAAAAAAAAACTAAATTAGCCATCTTTTTTGACATGCTTGTTAGACGCAGTTGTTCTGTTTCCGTCCCCCCCACCCGCCCAATGGGGTTTCAGAATCCACATGGATAGCTTGGTACTGAAGGAATAAATCTTTGTCAGTCATCTTTCTTCAGTGTTTTGGAGGCACACATTTTATTGACTTTGTTAAAACATTGTTTCTCATGTAGTAACATCATTCAAGGAAAGTCCTTGTGTCTTCTTTTGCATTGTTTATTTCTGCAGTAGTCTCCAAGCTGTTGCAGATCTTTTGTGTTTTCACTTATCAATACTGTGTCTTCCGCATAATCTAGATTCTTTATATTATAACGAGCCAGAGTATATATGATTTTTCCTTATGCTCTTTTTCTTCCTCTGCGGTCGCCCTTAAAAATGGCGGTTGGAAGAGTGTGTTGAGGTTACAGCTAGGCTGCGATATCTACAACTTTTGACCCAACAAATTTTTTTAGTCCTAGCTAGTCGCCTTTTACAACATGCTTGTAGGGGGGCGGAGGGCAATGTTGTCACTTTTATTTGACAAAAAACATCCAAAACGGAGTAAAAAAAATATCTAAAACATCTAAATTTGCATGGAAAACATATAGAAAAAACATCCAAATGGAAAGAGTCACAAATTACATAGCAATTGATATGACTTACCCTATAGAATCGTGTTCTCATCTTTACTGAAGTCTGCCTTACAAGATCCACAGGATAAACTTTGCTTCGATGATGAAGGTGAAGCTTTAGATCCAAAATGACTGTGGTATGCTTTAGCTGTTCCAATTTCTTTTAATACCCATCCAGGGAGCTGATAAGTGGACCAGCCTTTTCCTACTCTTATTAAGCAGAATTTTATTGTCAAGATAGCATTTAGGAGGTCAAATTTCAACCTTTTTCTTATGTTAGATTTGATAAATTCTCTCCAAATAATAAAAGAACATCTACAATCTAAATGTCAAAAACGCCATCTAAATGCAATGGAAAAACATCTAAATCTGAATGTAAAACATCCAAAGTGGCAACACTGGCAGAGGGTCTGTTGTTATTTTTCCCCAAAATGTGGCTCCAGATCAACAAGGATCTTTGAGCTCTTCCAGATAAGGTTTCCGGTGCTATGGTTTATGAGTTTTGTTTATTCCAATTTGACACCGTGAAAGTGTTTTAGTTCCTCCTCTCTTTCTCATCTTCTTGTGCACAACCGTTGCAAGCCATCATATATTTTGCTATCTTCAGCTTTCTTTTTTCATGCTGAAACTCAGAACATGTCATCCCTTGTCTGCAATTCTTTTTTCCCATTGTTTTTTTTTTTTTTTTTAAATTCTCTATTTCATTTAACTCTTTCTGGATAAAGGACTTTATGGTTTTACGAACAGGTATTTTCTTTTGTGTCAAATCCAACTCCAGCATTCTTTTAACCCCATACTGTCTGTAACTCTTAAAGGGCATTTAGAGTTTGGTGAAGTATTGTTCCCTCTGATTAAATTTATTTTGCAGATTATATATTACCTTAGTGGTAATTTTGAAAAAGCCCGGGGGGGGGGGGGGGGGGGGGGGGGGGTTAAAATATATTCAAATGGTTCCCCATGTGGGTTCTGGGGCCCTGTTATAGGGAAAACAAGAATAGACCCACCGCCTACCCAATAGCATGTTGTAAGAGTCGACTAATTGGGAGCTTCCTTCAAAGTCGAAGTGCATCTGCCTGAGAGGCAAGGAACAAACAGTCTGCATACAAATTAGTCAGATCTGACAAACGGATGCACACGCAACCTTCAAATTCTGGAACAGGACTGCAGTTCACAAGTGGACAAAGAACCAGAACTTTCTGCTGGTGCATGCGAAGAAGAAGTTTAAATGGAAACAGATGTTCAGTAGAAGTAATCCTATCACAGTTGTTTTGAAGTATTGGTCCCAGATTCTGGCATATGTGACCTTTAAAGTAAAGAAATAGTTTGGATTTTAACTATTTGAATTGCCTTCTACAGTTAGCAAGACAGTGCCTGTGTGGATCCAACATTGATTGAGCCGTTTTTCCAGTATTTTATTTTTGTATTTGTCCTGCATAGTTGGCATGTACTGTTTTCCCTATTCATTTTAGAATATTTTCTTCCATGTTGGCAAGGAAATCTTTGTTGCGATGTGGATTAGTTTTTCAGGCAGCTTCTTAAAACTATGGATGAGTGAAATCAGTATCTGACAGAAGTTCACCACTCCACTGTGTTTGTCCTTAGAAGGGAATTAGGCACTGTATTGTAGTTTTCAGCTAGGCTGTAATATGTACCTTCTGGCCCGACACATCTGATTTCAGCAGATTATTAATTAGGCACCTTTTGCGACATGCTTGCTAAGGGCTGTGGGTCTAGTTTTGTTTCCCCTCCGGAGACCAACTTATCTGTCAGGAAGTTCAGTGGGCAGAAAGGAAGTGAGAAGGTTTTTAAGCCTGAGCTTGAATGCTGCTCTTGGCAAAATTCTGAAATTAACACATGAAAATAACATTACCTACATCAAAAGGAGACAGTCTACATTATGAAGTGTTACAGAAAAAGTCTGAGAACACCATAGACCAAGTAGAAAAAAAATATTAACATCCTACATTATCTGAACGTTGAGGACAATTGGCTCATAAAAGCATCCTGTCCCAAAAGCTGTGGTATTTTAGCCATGTTAAGCATCATAGTGGCTGGAAGAAAAACAAAAACTTCAATCATTAAGAGGTAAAAATAATGGCTTTAGAGTTTTCTGTGTTCCTAACCTCTGTAGAATAGTCCAATGGGGTTTCTTTTGGAGAATCTAACCGCACATATTTTGTGTGTCTGCATGTGTAAGTAAGCACACATGTATGTATATAATGTGTCTGCTGTCTTCTTCCATCAGGTTATATTTCAACATCACATATGTCACACACACTTTATGAAGGAAGCAGATTAACTTGAAAAGATAGCTCATGTTTGTGTATGTGTCTGTTGTCACATCTGTCACACACTTTAGGAAGGAAGCAGATTAACTTGAAAAGATAGCTCATGTTTTTGTGTGTGTCTTTTGTCACATCTGTCACACACTTTAGGAAGGAAGCAGATTAACTTGAAAAGATAGCTCATGTTTTTGTGTGTGTCTTTTGTCACATCTGTCACACACTTTAGGAAGGAAGCAGATTAACTTGAAAAGATAGCTCATGTTTTTGTGTGTGTCTTTTGTCACATCTGTCACACACTTTAGGAAGGAAGCAGATTAACTTGAAAAGATAGCTCATGTTTTTGTGTGTCTGTTGTCACATCTGTCACACACTTTAGGAAGGAAGCAGATTAACTGGAAAAGATAGCTCATGTTTTTGTGTGTCTGTTGTCACATCTGTCACACACTTTAGGAAGGAAGCAGATTAACTGGAAAAGATAGCTCATGTTTGTGTGTGCGTCTATTGACTGCTGTATATTTCCGGTGGTTTGTTTTTAATGAATGTTTTAATTCACAGTCCTACATTATGGGAGCACAGCAGGTGGTTCGTGGCAGTCTCCAGACACATTGCAAGGACAGATGGGCACAGGCGAGGGGGATGCCTCTGCTACAGAAGCTGGACGTGAGTGCCTGTGTGTGTTTGGCTTTCTCATTCACCAATGACTGCTTCCTACACTTTGTCTGTTGTGTTTTGAAACAAGAACATGGGACTTAAGTTGTCAGAGGAAATGAAGTTTATTTGTTCGTTTAAGAAATGTAGACTGGCTTCATACAGTCAGTCAATCAGGTTGGCTGCAATGGATCTCCAGCATACTCTGTCTGTTGTCCTGTATGTACACTCTCTTAGGCTTATGTTCGTCCATATCTTAATGCTATTCTCCCACTTGTATTGCTGTCTGCTTTTTGTTTACCTTCAGCTTTTACCTCCAGTGTATGGCTTGTATAAGAATGCTATGTTTTTATCTGCAGTAGTAGTTGTAAACATGGTTTGTAATTCCGTACCTAGTTCAATTCTAGCCGTGATGATTTGGCAGCAGATTGCTTATGTATTGATTTCAACAGTGGTATAGAGAGCCAATGGTTCAGTAGGCAGTGACAAACTACTGATCGTAAAAATTGCCAACAAGAAAACAGCAATTTCTGGGGTTGGTTTTCAGTGCCCCCGAGCCCTCCCCCTTCCCCCAGAATGATGCTCAGCTAACTTTTATGTTTGTTAGTATGGCCAAAAAGATTTCACTTGTCTCTTTGTTTGTTTTATTGTATTACATTCAGCAGCTTTGTTTTCATTCCTAGTTTCTCCAGAACCTGTCTCTGTGTTTGAAAGTTTTTTCTTTCTCTCCATAAAATGCGATCAGTACTTCTGAATGTCCAGAGATTCAGAACGATTTTCTTATATCTCCACACAGCCAATTTTTATTTTTATTCTTCTTGACTATTGAATACATGATAACAGATGATCTGTATGATCCTGTTGGCAATCCATCATGGCATATCGTAAATATGTGCAAATATTGTCTTGCCAAATGAAACTCAGTAGTTTATGTGGTCAGTAGTGCATCAGTCCTTTTACCTTCCAGAAAATTTTCTTGTAGGTATTTTATGAAACACCCCATTTCCAGAGTCTTGTAGATATCGGGGGGGGGGGGGGGGGGCGGCTATGTCCACCTTGCTTTTTGTTTGAGTGTTTAGTTGGAAAATTATAGAATGCTCAATAGTGGGATGACAAGTTGAAGTGTTTCAGCCCCACACAGTTGCATAGCAAATGACTTAAGGAGGACATCATTAAATATCAGGAACACATTACTTGCAAAAAGGCTAAATGCACAGTGAACACCAGATTTCTTTAGTTTACTGTAATCAAAAGTAAAATGTAATACAACATATTGAATTTTGGGTATGATTTATGGGGAAAAAATCGGTCGCACATCCAGCGTTGTTTGGTTACTGTTACAAAAACATAAATCTTGGTAAAAGTGGATAACTACCACAGTGTGGAAAGTGCAGAGCAGTGAAAAACGTTAAGCCCCAGTGAGGAGAAACTTATCAACATATCGCGCCTTGCTTGGTGGGTACTGAGTAGATTTGACATTCGCCTCTTTGTAGCAGATGTCGGTTTGAAACCAGGTAGTGGAACTGCTCCGATCTGCCATGTTGTAGAGCCAGTGCCCGTTTTTTTGTTTGTTTGGTCAGATGGAAAGAAGCAGGTGGCAAGAACATCTGGTTGTGTTTAACCTAAAAAAGAAGTTTAGCAGACATGAGATCATGCACATATGGCGATAATCGAAACCCCAGGCCTGATCGCAGCCAGCCAGTGTGTGTTATGCTGAATCGTGAGCTTGATATGCCTGTCCTTGAAGTTCCGGTACCTGCCTTGCTTACACCTCTGGTGTGTGTGATCTTGGAGAGATGAAAAGGAGCAGCGCGATCCTGCGGAAATGTTGCTTTGTTATCTTGTCGGAAAGAGTCTTAACTCTTAACCTCATTCTGACAGATACAGCTCTGTCAAACCAGCAGAATGGCATATAGCCTTATTATTTATATCTACATTGTTTCATTTGCTGAGCTGCTAGGACTCTTGTCTTTTGCTTGGAAGTTTCAGATTCAAATCCTCGGTAAGGCGATGCAAATTTGTTTCTGTCGGAAGAGAAAAGAGTTATTGCTTAAAAATCTTAAAAATAATTACCTGCACATTTAAAAAGCTCTTCACTAGCCATGTACCCCTTTATATGCAGGCCCAAGGACACCTCCACCCCCCCCCCCCATACCAATGTCACAAACTTCCCTGCGTCGTCCACACCCCGTCCCCCATACCAATGTCACAAACTTCTCTGCGTCGTCCACACCCCCTCTCCCTTCCCCCCATACCAATGTCACAAACTTCCCTGCGTCGTCCACACCCCGTCCCCCATTCCAATGTCACAAACTTCTTTGTGTCGTCCACACCCCGTCCCCCATTCCAATGTCACAAACTTCCCTGCTTCGTCCACACCCCCTCCCCCATTCCAATGTCACAAACTTCCTGCGTCGTCCACACCCCCTCTCCCTTCCCCCCATACCATGTCACAAACTTCTCTGCGTCGTCCACACCCCGTCCCCCATTCCAATGTCACAAACTTCCCTGCGTCGTCCACACCCCCTCTCCCTTCCCCCCATACCAATGTCACAAACTTCCCTGCGTCGTCCACACCCCCTCCCCCATTCCAATGTCACAAACTTCCCTGCGTCGTCCACACCCCCTCTCCCTTCCCCCCATACCATTGTCACAAACTTCCCTGCCTCGTCTACACCCCCTCCCCCATTCCAATGTCACAAACTTCCCTGCGTCGTCCACACCCCCTCTCCCTTCCCCCCATACCAATGTCACAAACTTCTCTGCGTCGTCCACAACCCCTCTCCCGTGTCCCCCAAACGCGACTAGCAGTGACGTTTGTGTAATCCTAAGCTCGTCTGTCTTTCTGATTTGGACTTCATTAATTGCAGTGAAATAACATGACATTTTATGACGATGTGCTGGTTAACTATTCCTTGGCGCATTGCCACGACATGATTCCCATACATGGTCCTGCGCCTGTGGTGCTGTTGATTCTCAGTGGCTGTTGTGCAATTATAAGTGGGCTAGTGTGGTGTTAGGGGGTGCCTAGCATAGACATTTTTTGTTCTTAAGGACGTAACAGGGAAATACTCTCCCTGTAGTGAGTGTGAGGCAACTAGCAAGCTGGTGTATTCGATTCAAGAGCCCCAGTACCTGGGACACTGGCGATGGACGCGGAAGGTTGGTTGAAAATGTGAATCGAGAGGATCGACTTACCACGTTGTATTGCATGTGGCTCGGTCTTTCTTCAGAACTACCAGCCGCTTGCCGTAATTACTTCGGAACCCACGACTGTCAGAGTGCGGATTACAAGTTGAAGACACAATAATGACAAAGATTTCGCTGCCTGAGCTTAGTGTTTGGTGCAGTCCCATGAGCTGTGTTTTTTTCATGTGGAATGCCTTTATTTGTGTCGCGGTTGAGTCATTGTATTTATTCAGTATAGCCGATATACCTGTGGGCTGGTGAAATATCTTATGTAATAAGTTGTAAATAGCCAACTTATCATGTCTGACTACTTCCATTAACGACAGACTGCATTTCTGGGGCTCCCCGTATGGGTTCCAGGGCCCTATTACAGGGAAAACAAGAATAGACCCACTGCCTACCCAAAAGCATGTCGTAAGAGCCGACTAATTGGGAGCTTCCTTCGAAGTCGGGAGCATATGCCTGAGAGAGATGGTCCGTGGTTAAGAGATTGCCTGCCCGGCTCTCTAGCGAAGTTGGTTAAACCTGACTTTCGCGGCGGCCGGGTGACGAACTCCTTGTGGTCCGGGTTCACTCCCGGGGGTAGGCAGAAAAACCACATTTCTCCCAGATTAACGGTACCTATAATGGAATCAATGCCGAAGGGTTGCGATATCCATAGTACCGAGCCAAAGGGTTTACAACTCATGGTTACTGGATACGTTAAAAAAAAAAAAAAAAAAGAGATTGTCTCGCGCTATAAAGGTCGTGAACACGTTTCACTGACTGCATCGTTTCAGTTCAAATTTGAAATTTTTACGAAGACCAAAATCGTCACCAGAGCTGCGGAGTCCGTGCTTTGTGCGACGCTGGCAGCAGGTGGTTAGACTTTCCATGGAGCAAACCTGAGCCATACGTCTACAGCCCGATGCCTTGAAGTCGATCCTGTCTGGACTTTGAGCTTCTATTTTGTTTCTTCGCGTTCACTGGCTGTAAATTCTGGCGGAAAATTGTGGTTGTTTGTCCAGCTCTGGACTTTAGTCTTGTTCCAATGTTGCGTGCACATCCGTTTGTGTGTGTGTGTGCACATTGTTGGTACCTTGCCTCTTAGACAGATGCAGTCCGACTTCGTAGAAAGCCCCCAGTTAGTCGACTCTTACGACATGCTTGTCTTCTATTCTAGTTTTCCTCACAATAGGGCCCCCTACCCCACACGGGGGAAATAATCAAATTTAAAAGTTGAAACATTTGCTGCCTTGTAAGCTGCTTGGCAATCGGGAATTCCCACACCGGTACTGGCTGTGGGCTGGCCCGATTCCCTTCCCAGAGCCACCTGTTACACGGGCGGGTCCTCCGTGCTGCGTGTCGTTCGCGTGCCTTATGGATGAGTAGTCTACAGTGTGTAGTCGCTGCGCACGCCAAACTCCAGTGGTGTGTTGTTGAAATGAAATCACTACAAACAAGCTATGATTGGGGAGGTAATATTTTTTGGGGGAAAAGGGGGAGGGAGAGAATTCCTCACAGATACAGTCGAGTTTTGGATCGTAGATTTTATCAACAAATAAAGGGGGGGGGGGGGGGGGGGGAGAGAAGGATGAGGACAGCTGGTGACCGAAAAAAAAACAGCTCCTTAAATTTTCTAGGGGCACCCAGGGAGCCTTAACTTTGTTTAAGTGCGCAGTAATATTAGTAACAATTATTATCTGCTTAATGGCAAATAAATGTAATGTTTATAGAATATAAACAAATGTTTAAAAAGAGAACTGTGCATGGTTAGAAGGACCAGTTCACCTCTTTGCATTTGTTGGGGCGGGAGAGGGCGCTTATGGTGCCTGAGCCCTCAT